GTTTTCTTTTGAATTAGTTTTTTTGCTGAATTAATATATTCTTTCCCTCTATCCTGTTTACTTTTCCTAACGTTTCGTTTCCAGTTGCTTACCATCCTTATCCGTTTTTTCCCTTTTTTCTTAACTTGCCATTGATGTTAAAAACAGTTATCTCCTGGAGTTGACCGATTATTGCACCTAGGTACTCGTATTTATTGATTCAGTCAAGTTCTTCTTCCATATATTTACCTTAATATTTATTGTAGATGGCTGATTCTTGCACTAAAAGATGTCCAAACGTTGTTCATATACGATCCGCATAAAAACGGAATTTGGGTAAAAAAAATGGAGTTAACTGGTTTTTGCACCGAACCCTTCAATTGTTTTTTGTGTGTTTTTTATAGACATTCTCAAGGAAGTACATTGTGACGTAAATTAAAATTTCATAATGAAAAAATAACATCAGACGGTTGTTGAGGAAAATAGTAATTACTTTTGCCATAATGCAATAGATCTTTTACTTTGTTCTGGTATACACAGTGTTCTTGTATAAAGGCGATATGAAATCTTCTCATGGAAAGAGTAAGTTCTGCTGAAGCCGCCTAACTATGCTACAGCTTCATCTGTAAGAACTTCTTCTTTTTCTTTGAGTACCGTGACTAAGTTTTGGGCGTGGGTAGCTTCCATGACGATTTGCCGATATCGTTCTCGATCTTGGGCGGCATGTAATAATTCATCTGCTGATAAATGTTTTCTTTGTAGTTCTTACTAATTTTAATTTTAGAATGTACGTCTGTAAGAACTAGACTGAGCTTATTCGCACGTATTTGATCCAGAGAAAGAGACAGCGGATGGGAGAATCGTTAGTAGTCGCTAGTTTTATATTTATTTATGTATTTGTAGAATTAGAAGAGTCGCCTCTTCTGAGCCCTTCTTTTTTTTTGTTTACTATTCCATTATTTACTATTATTTTTACTATTTGTGACACTATACTATTAGGCACCAATAAACGCAACATATGAAACACTCTTAAAAAATACCTTAAAAGATTTTATATAAAAGCACCTAAAAGAGGATATCAAAATAGAATCTGCAATAAAGTTAAAAAACAATATATGTCTTGTACAAATGAAGGATTATGGTGAAAAAATTAAGGTAATGAAAGAAAAAAGCAAACTCAGATTTCTTACTGGATCTTCATCAACGATGATCTGACCGAAAAAGAAAGACACAAGAGGCAGGAAATTGTAAATAAAGGCAAGAAATTAAGAACTGAAGGTAAAAATGTGAAGATAGGGTACCAAAACTAACTGGATGGCATAAAATGGGCATGGGCCGGGAATGGTACTTTCAAACGAGAAAATTCTAGAAATATGGACAAAAAAAAAACGGCATATAGTAGTGGAAAAAGAAAAAGATGGTCTATTATGTCAACGGACCCTAGCGATGAACAGGAAAATGAGTTTGAACATAAATAGCAAAATAAAAAATAAGAATGTGTACCTAAATATTGCGACATGGAATGTACTAAAAGTATACGAGGAGGGAGCATTAATTAACCTAATAGAAGAATTTAAAACATGTTAAAAACACATCGTAGCAATACAGGAAACACATTTAACTGGAAACAACATTGAAAATATTAGCCCATACACGTTTTATACAAGTGGAGGCGATAATAGGAATTTTGGAGTGGGTTTTCTGGTACACGAAGACGTGAAGCAGGTAAAACGATTCGTAGTAAAATATTACATAATGTGTGCAATTAGAATTAAACGAAAAGAGAACGCTGATAATCATATGACATCACTGATATCGCTGATAAATATACATGCTCCAACAGAAGAAAAAGGAGAAGAAGTGAAAGATGGATTTTATGAAAAATTAGAGTCATTGTCTGAAGAAACGGCCAGACAAGATATTAAAATTATGATACGCCAATGCAAAGGTCGGAAGAGAAGATATATATATATATATATATATATATATATATATATATATATATATATATATATATATATAAACAAAAAACAGAGTCGTTGCTAGTTGCTAGTCGTTGAGATTATTTGTAAGAAGCTATGACACTCAACGTTAATAACAAACATATAAACTATAACTTATACAATAATGAATACAATACATTTTAAAATTTAGTCTATTCTCTATGGGTATATTTTATTCTCTATGGGTAAGTTAAAACACACCAAGAAGATGTAGAAAACGAATTTTAAGAACTTTTATTATTTTTAACTAAATTTTAAAATGTATTGTATCCATTATTGTATAAGTTATAGTTTATATGTTTGTTATTAATGTTGAGTGTCATAGCTTCTTACAAATAATCTCAACGACTAGTAAGTACACTGACATTTTGTGATATATTGTAAATATTTACACATTTTTCTAATTACAGTGTCTTGATAAAGGAATTAAACAATTCCGAAAGCTAGACCAAAAGTCAAAAGAGTGTTTCTGTAACATTCCGGCCAAACTTCTGACTGCAGCCCCAATAAACTTTGTTGTTTGTTTAAATTGACGGTCACGAATATCCAGTATTCATTGTATATATATATATATATATATATATATATATATATATATATATATATATATATATATTGTTATGATATGTAAAATCGAGAAAAATATTGGTTTGTTTAAAATATTTCAAAGTTCAAAAACATTAAAATAATTCAGATAAGTAGGATAATACCCAACAAACATTTCGAAGAAGGAAAGTCTTAAAATTTTTGAATTACCTGTATTAAACAAAATGTAAGCTATGCATAAATTATTTTCTTTGTACTTGAGTGACCCGCATAATTTTAAATGAAATCCAAAGACAAATGAACCGGGTTTTCCAAATACATTAATGCAGTGATTAAGGACAATAGAATAGATTTTATAAATATAGGTTTTTGTTAGTTTTTAAGAATCGTAGAAAAATATTATTTGTAAATAAGTTTTAGGAAATTTTATAATTATAGGTAAAAATTTGTTTGTTATCGAAATGAAAACATGGGAGAATTGTGACGAGCTTTGATTGGCGGAGATTGAAAAAGGTGGGATAGGTATGTAAGAATGAAAGTTTAGCTAGATTTTTGAGAGAGAAAAGATAATCAGTTGGTTTTCCAAGTCTGTAAGACGAACATTGATTGTTCTCTGGCGGTTCCCGAGAGGTAGCAAGCAGTAGTGTTGAATGTTAGTGAGTTTTTGTGGAGTTAGTGTATCTGACAGAAGCTGAAGCCGCAAAATATTGTAAGTCATATTTTTCTACTTATATTCCAAGAGTCACTGTTCAGGCTAACGAGAGATTCAGTTTATCGTAAAGAGAAGATATTCCAAGAGTCATTTTTCACTCTGGCCAACGAGAGATTCAGTTTATCGAGAGGAGAAAGACTATCATAATTTGAATAATTCGTGCTTTTGAAGGAGATCATTAAGGACGATATACTTGCAACAATTTGTTGTAAGATTGCTGATTACCCAGGGAGCGCCTGAGAGTAGATAATATAGTCTACAAGGAACAAGGATTTGGACCACTCATCATCAGAGAGAGATATTTTTGTTTTCTGCAGTTTTTCTTTTATTGATAACACAATTTTACACTTAATTTAGAAAGGATATAAATATTTTGATTAGGAGAGTTAGAATAATTTGGGATTTTGAGATTTCAATTAATATTGTTTGTACCATTAATTTTGAAGGTTCACGTACGTAGAATAAAATTTTGAGAATCATTATATGAGATTTTGTTTATTGAAAATATTTGAGTGTGAATTATTTCATTATTTTTATTTCAATATATAGTGTTATATCATATGTGTTTTTTATTATTCCGGTATTCTTTGGACCTTACCTTTCACATGTAATAGCATAGATATTGAAGCACGAATTTAACCCTGAGATAAAAGAATTAAAAATTGTGATAGAGTCATAATCATATCATTTAAATAATTTTAATTAATTAATTAATTAATTCGCTAATTAATTGCTTGGCGCACCAAGACTTGAAATATCACAATAATAATATATATATATATATATATATATATATATATATATATATATATATATATAAACATCAACAACAGGGGGTGAAAGTAAACATTTGAATACAAATGATAATGGACAAAGATTGATTACATTCGCAATTGAAAATAGGATGAAAATATTGAGTACGCATTTCAGGAGAAAAAATTTATATAAAGGGAAAGTCCGGGATCAAATGAAACTAATCAAATAGACTACATCTTAATACAAGAGAAGTTCGCCAATTTAATAACAAATTTGAAAACGTGCAGAGGGGCTGACGTAGACTCAGATCATTTTTTGGTTAGAATTAATATGAGAGAAGCAATCATTAAAAAGCATAAACGAAAAAGAAAGTGCCACGTAAATTTAATTTTGAAAAACTGCGAAAATTTGAGGTAGCGCAGGATTATCAGAAGGATATACAAGAAACCTACGCCAAACAAGATAGTACCACTGTGAGTAACTTACAACAAAAGTTCTTGAAAATGACAATCACTATAAAGGAAGCTACGTCGAAGAACATACCAAAAACAAAAAAACTTTGAAAAAACCACTGGTTCGATGACAAATGTAGAACAGAGTTAAAAAAAAGAGCAGATTTGAGATTAAAAAGTTTACGATCACAAAAACAACACGACCAAGAAACGTATGCCGAACGAAACAAAAAAGTAAAGATAATCCTAAGGGAGCGCAAACTGAAGTATATGGATAATAAAATAAAGAGCATTAAAGAAAATTACAAGAAAAATGAAATAAAAATTTTTTACAAAGAGGTAAAATACATTAAAACTGGGTAGCAGGGAAGAGCGATAAATGTAAAAGATAGACCTGATAGTGGACGAAGACCAAATATGTGAGTGGTGTAAATTATTTCATTCTTATTATATTGTATGAATTAAATTGTATAAGAATTGAATTAAATTTGACACATAAACAAACCAGAGTAAATAAACATTTTTAAAAATTGATCAGGTCGTTACACTTACCTGTTGTTTTCCCATGTCTCCATTTCGACTTCTGGCGAGATAATCTGATTTATTTTTGAGAACTTTTGCGTTATTTATATATAATTCACCATTAATATGAGTAATCCATAATGGTGGATTTTCCAAAATAACTGTAGATAAGGAATTAGTTCTATTCAGCATTTCTAAACTTTTGATCTCAAAGCTCATGTGGTAGAATGCAAGATCAGAGTTGTATTCAACTTAAAAAGAGATCATTAGAAAGTTTATAAGGTAAATAAAATTGGCAGCATTATATTAGTTAAATATTGTATTTTATAGGATTAAACCACAACTTTTTGTAAATAGAATTACATTTTACACTTATTTTGACATTTCAATTTTCAATAGGGAAATCGTTTTAATTTTTTTTATTAGGAGAGATATTATATTTAGAGTAACTAGTAGTTACAGGCTCTCTCCTCGGGAGAGCCTGATGGATGGATCAGTTGTAGAATTCGAGTAGAATAACTTCTAGAGAGCGCGTCCCCAGGTGGCGGATAAGACAAAGCCCTCACCAGCATCAGCTGGCGGATAGGTGGGAAATAAAATACCACTCGCGGACCAACAGGTAGGGCAGACAATACTCTTAAGTTGCAGTGAAGGCAAACAGTCTAAGAGAAGGAAAGCTAAAAAATTAAACCCTGGTCTCCAAGTTTGGGGTTGGGGCATCGGGTTAACAACTCGATACTCGTCAAAAATGGAAAAGGTTAAAAACTCCAAAATCCAGCCTCGGAACTGGACTAATATATGACGACGAAAAATGCTACGGAACAGGAAAATGATTTTTGCGACATGGAATGTCCAAGGGATCTCAAAGAAAGCTTCAGAAATCCAGAAACCAAACGGAAAGGTCAAGGATCGGAAAACCTAGGTAAATACGATAATTTCTACACCAGAGTCACAAAAGAACATAGAGCTCAACAATGAGTCGCCATTATGATACACCGTCGCTTCAGAAAATACATCACATAATGAAAAGGCATCAACGAAATAATGATAAAAATGAATATATTATGTATAAAAGTATACAGACTGACCGTTCTGGAAATATATGCTATGCTATATGAATGACGATGCTATTGTATATGTGAAAGATAACTTTTTCGAACAACTGAATGAAGAAATCATAAAGGTGGGTAACACAAGAGAAATAATAATCTTGGAAGACCTCAACAGCAGAGTCGGAAAAAAGAACAACGATAAAGTAGTAGGTAGATATGGAGAAGATAATACGAATAATAACGGCGGAGAAAGGTTAATAGATTTATGCGATCAGAATGGTTGTAGACTACGTCATTCTCAAACAAAAAAGTCGACTGAAAACAATAGACGTAAGAGATATTTCATTTCCACATAAAATATAATAGCAAACGCTGCAACATAACCATACAAAGGAGCAAGTACAAAAAGTATGATACAATTTGAAAAGTTTACACTAAGAAAGTGTTAGAGACCTATATAAACGTAGACTGGAACAAAAACTAATTGAAACGGAAGATAATACCAGGAATGTTAATCAGTTATACAAAACCATCAAATAATGTATACACTCCGCTACCCTAGAAACTCTAGGACGATATGAAAAGATCGGACAACAAAAACCTAATTGGTGGGATCAAGATATTTCTCAGGAAATAACACAGAAAAAAAAATGTATCAAAAATATATGAACACAAGAAATGTGTAAGACAGAATCGAATACAAAATAATGCAAGCGATGGTCAGAAGAAAAATATCTCAAAAGAAAAATGAATTATGGGAAAAAAGTGCACCATACTAAATACATACATTGGTGGAAGCCAAAGTTCAGAAAGCTGCTGGAAACTGTTAACAAATTTAAGAAACAACAGAAAAAGAGATATTATGCAGTCCATATTACCGCAAACTTGAGAAAAATACTTAAAAGATTTACAAACAGAGACAAGAGAGTCCTTCAAACAGCTAGAGAACTAGGGTCTTCAAGGCGTCAGGCTGATAAGATCACCAATTAGAATAAATAAAAGAGAAGTCGAAACCATATGCAGACATCTAAAGAATGGCAAATTACCTGGCTCAGGAAATGTAGCTCCAGAACTCATCAAACATGGACAAAAAATACTAATTCAACGGCTACGACAACTTTTCCAGGAATGTATAAATAAACACGAAATACCTAAGGAATGCAAAGAATTGCATCTGAGCAGCATCCACAAAAAGGGAGATCAATCGAAACCTGAAAACTATAGAGGAATTGCAGTTACTAGTAGTATTAGCCGAATATATGAAAAAATAATAAAAAATCGAATAGAAGAAGAATACCAAGATATGGAAGCCGAAGAACAGGCTGGTTTTTGTGCAGGTCGATCTACAATAGATTATATCTTCTCTATTAGTCAGATAATTGAAAAGAAAGTTGCTCGTGGCCAAGAAGTTCACCTGACGTTCGTAGACTTTAGGAAAGCATATGAGTGTCCCGCTTGATAAATTATGGGAGGCACTGGGGAAAATAAATATAAATATAGAATTGATTGAACCGGTAAAAACGTTGTACTACCAACAAATAATAAGAATTAAAACAGGAAATTTAATAACACCGGAATTCAAAGTGACTAAAGGACTAAGACAAGGATGCTGTATATCCCCAACATTATTTAAAGTATACTTCGAAGCAGAACTCAACAAATTAAAGAAAAGTGTACAAATATGGGCATACCACTAATGAACTTAACTTTGTACACTCTGTGCTTTGCGAATAACCAGGTGATCATCGCACAGGACTCTGGAGATCTTAGTTACATGATGCGAAAACTATAAGAATAGTTTACAGAGTGTGGTTTGGAAGTGAATATGGAAAAACACTGGGTACATGAGTATCGGAGGAGATCAAAATAATCTTGTCGTAGAGGAAAATCAAGAGATCAAACTATGTGACGACTACAAATACTTAGGAGTAAAGATCATTCAGGGCGGAAAATTAGATGCAGCCATTAAAGAACGAAATACACAGAGAAGGAAAGGCATAGCGTTACTGAACAGCGTACTGTGGGATAAAACATCTCTAAGGAAAATAAAAGAAGAATATACAACACCATAATAAAAAGTATCACCATATATGGATGCGAGTGTGGCACCTAAAAGACAGAACAAAGAAAATGCTTTGAGCAACAGAAATGGACTTCTGGCGCCCCTCGGCGGGAATCTCTATATGCGACAGAATAACAAACGAGAGAGTCCGAGAAATCATGGGGGTTACACATAATATTGTTGATGACATCAAAGCGACACAACTCAGAGGGTACGGACACGTAAGGTGAATGCTGGAGAATAAAATACCAAGACAAATTCTTGAATTTGAACCAAGAGGTAGGCGGAGATCAGGAAAGCCTAGAGGAAGTTGGAGAGAAGGAGTTGATAAAGAAATCAGGGAAAGAGAACTGGAAGACGATCTATGGAACGAGAGAATGAGATGGAGATTGAAAATCAAAAGACGTCGAAGAATGTTGTAAACCTAAATAGTACTAAAAAAAGTAAGCAATTTTATACAAAAAATGTTAAATCTTACGGAACACATCGATAGCTTTTAAATAATCTATAAGTTTTCTGAATAACTATTTTGACCCAACACAACTGATAAATTTGAATCTATATTATAAAGGGTTTGTTGATGTTTGAATTGTTTAAATTTGTTTTAGATACAATAATAAATTATGTTAAAGAAGCTAAAATCGATATTTAACCTTATAAACACCTAATATGTACCTATATGTGTATGAATAAAAATGAATCCTGTGGCTAATGAACTATGTCTAAGGTCCCTTTCCTCTACAGACACACACACGCACACACACATCTTTGAATTTGTCACATTTAAAAATATTTTTTATTGTTAAGGTTGAATTGCAGCGCTCGCATTTTGGTGGGTTACATTTTGAAAGAAGAGTGTGTGAGTCTAGTATGGCCTAATCGTAATCGGTTATAACTACCCTCTGTTCATGATAATTTTTGTAAAAAGGTTTAGTTCCTTTAACTGTGTCTCTAATTTGGCGTAGTTTAGACGTTTGTATTTGCTAAACGTTATGCCAGACTTCTAAGATTTTTGCCTTAACAGAAAGCTTCAAATCTTGTGTACCGCACTTTATTATTATTTCTGAATCCGCACTAGACACTGCACTATGCGCACTTGAGTCTGCTTCTTCATTTCTGGGGATACCCACATGAGAAGGAATCCATATAAAGTAAACTGTTTTTCCTTTTTCTTGACATGTGTGAAGTTCTGATTTGATCATTTTTTCAATTGGGTGTTTAGGATATACTCATTAAATTGCAGTAATCGAAGAGAATCAGAGAATCAGAAAGAATCACCGTTTTGACGGTATTGGTATCAATAATAAACTTTAATGCTCAATAAAGTATATAATTGAAAGAAGATAGTTGAAATAGATATTTACTTGAATTGATCACAAAAGCAGCAATAACTCTATTAGCAGCTATAGGCTTGAATATAACTACCCCCATTGGTACTTTCAATAATCCTATATGGACTTATAAGCTACCTGATTTCAATACTAGTATAACTCGACATAAAAAAGAAGACACTCCTAACCACCTCCTTAGACAATTATTTCAAGAAGCAATAAATGCAAAACAGTACATTCAAGTTCTTTATAACGACGCATCTAAAGATGAAAAGAATACTGGCTGTGCGGTTTGTACTGAAAACATAACCTTAGTTCTACACCGACTACCAACTACTTGTAGTATTCACGCTGCAGAATTATATGGTATCCTTAAAGCTCTTGAAATGACTTCTCCTAATATAAAATCTCTAGCTATATACACTGACTCTCTTTCTTCAATTTAGTCCATTGCCAACATATACTCGTTAAATCCGATAGTCCAAAAAATTCAACATATCTGTCATCAAAACCACCACAGAGGAACATCAATAACCATTCTTTGGATCCCATCTAATGTAGGGGTACGTGGAAATGAGTCTGCAAACATCGCAGCAAAAAAAGTAAGTTGCTCTGACCTAAGCCTGAAAAAAATTCAACTTCATCAAGATCTAGCAGAAACCATAAACCAAAACACTTGCAAAACATGGCAAAATCATTGAAATGGACAAAACACAAAACTGCACATAATAAATCCTACTGTATGCAAAGGATTTACTAATTGTGGTAGGTGGTAAACAGAGGTGAAAAACAGTAAAATATATAAC